CTTCTGCCCAGGGCACCAAGAGATTCAATTTGTTTTGATTTTTGCTAATGAAAACAACAAAGGCAGTCAGCTATGGGAAAAAGAGACTATCTCTGGCTTTTATAAAGGACCGAGTTCCTGCTCCTCCTGAGGGCTGTGATGGGCAAGCCCATTAGCATGAAACATTTAACTAACTTGGAGAAAATTTCACAGAAAGCATAACTGGCCCATGACTACCAGTAAAATCTCTATCCCTGCATAAAACACAAAGATATATGTGCACGCGCGTGCACACACACATGCACGATGAGACATGTACTGAAAAAAGGACAACAAAAAACAATGGCTGCTTTATTCTTCTATTCTTCTCCTTTTCTCCTTATTGGTTACTAGAGACCCGTTGCAGGAAGATTCCTGCAAGAATAGGGCTTCCTATGGCTGGAGTGAAGCAGAGAAGGGAGCGAAACCTGCTGAGCCTTGGCTCCGTTCCTGGCTCCGCCGCCTCTACTTTGCTTCCTTCTGTAGCACTTCGCTTCCACGTTGTCTTCAGTCTTCACTCCCAGCCGGTATATGCAAATTAACCACCATCTTTGTTGGCGGTTAATTTGCATATCGTGCTGATTAGCCAATGGGAGGCATAGCAAAGGTACGGTCAATTACCATGTTTGGCTATTATTAGGTAGGATATTCCCATAGAAAAATGAAAAAAAGAGGAAATAGTCTCCAGATAGCTGATACTCATGAAAATTGCTATAGAGTGTTAGAGATTTGCCCAAATATTTAAAATAGAGGAATTTGTAAGTATACGGTGCCCATTCTAAGGAAAGTGTATTTTCAACGCATTCTCCACTTTTAAAATATGGTTAAACATCTCTGTTCTTGATATCCGAATCCACCCCTTCTATCTTTTCCATCACCCAGGTAAGGTCTTTAGGAAAGGAATAAAGGTGTCTAATGGGAACATGGTGTGCTGCTTAAAGAAGTAAAATGAGACCTCTTCTTTATCTGTCCATGAAATCCTCAGAGAAAGTATCAACTTCCAATCATGTGTTATAGTGTCAGTTCAGTTTGGGAAACCATGAAGAGCCAACTATACATTCACAAAAAGACACCAACAGACACTGTTATGAAAGATACAAAGTTTTTTCAATGGCAAAAGACATGACAACATATGGAGATCCCTATAAAAAGCGAGAGCTAATATATTATGCTCCCTGCTGGATGCAGAACAGCCTAGGCCCCCCAAAGTTCCCCAAAGAAACATGGAACTGAGGCGAAGTAGCATGAGAAGTTCTTCTTGCCCAAGTTTACACCTTTCTGGTGACCTACTGCTTGACTCTGGAAAGTCTGGCTGAGACCAGGGGCAAATAATTATATTAAAATACCAGCACACACTTGAGCAAGACCAGACAAAATGAAGGTCAGTTTCCCAAGATTATTCTACAAAAGCCTGAGGCTTCAGGCCTGAGCTCTACCTCTTAATTCATATTCTGCTCTAAGATTTAATATTTTTGCAGCATCAACTTACATTTATAGTGTGAGCTGATAGATGTTTGACTTTGCAGGCAGACTTAACCCCCATAACAATGAGCTATGTAGTCCAAGATATCTGTTGTTGGGAAACCCTGCTTTTTAGGCTAACCCCTGTAACCTTGTTAACACCAACTACAATGTTAGAGGTTTGCATTTTTCTTGTTGTTAGATCTTCACTCAAGGATTAAAAACACTCTTACCTGAAAGTTCTATGTGGTTTTGCCAAGACCATGTAACTGTCACTTTCTTTGAATTGTCCATAATTCGGCCTCACAGCATCTTCTCAGGTTTCCTTATGCCAGATGGGCAGTGGATAGAAAGGGGGGACTTCTGCTTTTAATAGCTCTCCCAGCCTGAAGATGTCTAGGCTGAGCCTGCACAAGCACTAGGACAGTGGTCGGCAAACCGCAGCTCGCGAGCCACATGCAGCTCTTTGGCCCCTTGAGTGTGGCTCTTCCACAAAATACCACATGCGGGCGCGCACGTACAGTGCGATTGAAACTTCGTAGCCCATGCTCAGAAGTCAGTATTTTGTGGAAGAGCCACACTCAAGGGGCCAAAGAGCCGCATGTGGCTCATGAGCCGCAGTTTGCCGGCCACTGCACTGGGACATCTCCCTCTGTCCATCCCCCTCAGACTCAGTGGGGCTTTCACTCCACCTATTGATCTCTTAAGCTGTATTATAGACTGAATGCTTGTGTCTCCCCAATTCATTTCGAAGCCCTACTCCCCTGTATGGAGATGGGGCCTTTAAGGAAGTAGTAATAAGGTTAAATAAGGTAATAAAGGTGGGGCTCTGATCAGATAAGATTGGGGTCTTTAATCAGAAGACACCAGAGGGTTTGTGCTCTCTTACCCTCATCCCCCTTCCCTACAGCAGCACTCGGAAGTAAGGCTATATGAGGACATAAAAGGTAGCCATCTTCAAGCCAGGAAGGAGCTCACAACAGAAGCTGAATCTGCCAGAACCTTGGTCTTGGTTTTCCAGCCTCCAGAACTGTGAGAGAATAAATGTCTGTTGTTTAAGCCAGTGGTCGGCAAACTCATTAGTCCACAGAGCCAAATATCAACAGTACAACGATTGAAATTTCTTTTGAGAGCCAAATTTTTTAAGCTTAAACTATATAGGTAGGTTCATTGTTATTAACTTCATTAGGGTACTCCTAAGGCTTAGGAAGAGCCACACTCGAGGGGCCAAAGAGCCGCATGTGGCTCGAGAGCTGCAGTAAACTTGAAGCCATCCAGTCTGTGGTATTTTGTTATGGTAGTCTGAGCATTTGTTTTTCTCACTAGTGTTCACTTATTTTTTAAACCCTCTCCATTTGGTGCAACTTTTCAAAACACTTTTATAGTCTTTCTTTTACTAAAGTTTCAGGGAAGAGTAAATGAGTCAAAACCTTCCTTATTTCCTAGCTCTGCAATTGTTCAAAACATACATAGCACCTTCTGCCAGCCCCAAGATTTGTAACTTTGAAAGCCAATGTCCTCTTCTTAGTTTAAGAAGCTTGATTTTTCTAAGAAAAATTATATCTGGAATTATAAAGTTAATGATTTACCATGTTAGTTGCATTGTACAATACCATTTTAATTAGCATACTTAGAAATTGTGGGTTATTTTGAAAATGACGATATGCAGCAATCTATTTCTCAATCGTATTTAAACAAACACCTTCTGACTATCATCTATGCAACAAAACATTTATCTTTCAAACAGAAGTTTCAAAAAGAAATTGCCTCTTATACACCTTAATCAATGGATGTTTTATACCTCATTGAAACACTTGTGAGGTATACTTGAACTGGTCTGGTCCAATGAGAAAATTATTTTTGAGTGGCTCTCTCTGAACATATTTTTAAAATCGCAATTAGATTGAACAGGTTGCAGAGCTCCAAGGTCAGAGCTGAGAGTAAAGGAAAAGATTTAGTGCAAAAATTTTAAACCACAGTCATTTATAATTAAAATGCTAGTGTGGGCCCAGGTGTTCTTTTTAAAAAATTTAAAAATATGTTTTTATTGATTTTAGAAAGAGGAAAGGAGAGAGAGGGGGAAGAAGAGGGAGACGGAAAGAGAGAGAGAGAAACTCCAATGATGCACCTTACCGGGGATCAAACCTGCAACCTGGGCATGTGCCTTGACCTGGAATTGAGCCAACGACCTTTTGGTGCATGGGGCAACACCCAACCAACTGAGCCACATGGGCCAGGGTGACCAGGTATTTTTAATCCACTTTTTAAAATAAGATCAGTGGAGATAGAGCTTTACGTAATTTTATCATTGGCACCACTTCCTCCCATTTTTAAAAATATTTTTTTGTATTGATTTCAGAGAGGAAGGGAGAGAGAGAGAGAGAGAGAGAGAGAGAGAGAGAGAGAAGAACATCAATGATG